GTATATTCATTACCCAAATATATTTTATTATTGAAAACTGGCATGTCTAACATAAATGATTACAATAAGGTTTGCACATATTACCGGTACTATGGTAGTATTGTGATACTATGGCTCCAAAATACTGGAGGTGCAACTGTAGTTTGTAAACGGTAGTATCGTCAGTAACGGTCCGTCTACAATACATAATGTTGCCTGTGGAAGAATCACTAAAATGCTCTCACACTTGTGCAACTATAGACCATTTTATTTTAATAGCCCATGGAGCCTTCTAAAGTTGCAAAACTGTAGAATTCTCGTCTTTTATGTTAGCTTATTGCACGTTTTCTGAGGCTTCAGTTCAAACCTGAATCTGTTCATTTCTGCTCCTGTTAATATGATTTAATAGCTACAACAACCGTAACAATCTCTTAAATAACAGCTCACAAAGTGAAATTTTGAAATACTTTGGATTCTTACCTGATAAGACAAAAAAAAAAAAAAACAATAGATGAAAAAGAGCAACAGGAAACAAACAATTTTTGACTATTTCATATAGCGCAAATTTGTTGGAAAAATGCTTTTTTTGTAACAAATTTCATTTGTTATAATTTGTATCTTTATTTTAATGCATTTTTTTTTGTTCGAATACATTTTAGGGGAAAATACCTTTTTGAATTATAAGGGAACTATTAATTCAGTTCAAGTAGACCTATTATAACAAATAAAATTAAGTATTGCTGACATTTTTTCTTTATTTCATGAATTTGAGTTATGAATTACAGAATCGTAATACTACTTGGTATCATGATATTTCAGCTGGTATAGTATCATGACATGAATTAATGATATCACGAATACCCTAATTACAATATTAAAGAACTGCTTTCTGTTTAATTTATTTAAAATGTCATCCCTTACAGAATCTTTATAATATGTTCATTTTGTGTACAAGAAATGCTTCGATTGGTTTTTGTCACAGTTGAAAATGTCTGTGCTGTTTAAAGTGTTTACAAATGAATCTTTTGTACCATTATAAATGTCTTACAAATATTTTACAACAGCTGAAGATTATGAAAATATTTCCTCCTCCATCAGATCTGTGTTGAAGACTTGTCTCTAATCCTTATCTGACTTTTCTTTATGAACACGACTAAACTGCTGATCATTGTGCATAAAGGTTTCTCTTTAAACTATACTACATTGATTAATGGCCTTGATTTGTTTCTATGGAAACTGCAGTCTTTGTAAAAGCCAGCTGAAAGACCTGTGGGTTTGTTCTGAAGCTCCACTTTAGCGAAGAGGTGCACACTCATGCTTTCCTAGTTGCTTTTTGGGGTAATCTTTCTTATATAAACATGTTTTTCATGGCGTTCTGTGCGATTAGATGAACATCAGCTGATGATACAGTGGTGCGTTTATGTTGAATGTATACAATGTCCGACCTGTTTCTTAAAGCATGAAGGGAAGCAGATTCAGTGGTGAGAAGATGTCAGAGAACAGCAGAAGCTGATAAACATACATCTGTTGTTTGTGTACCAGAGTCAGTTGGCAGAGGCGGGGTTATACGGCTAGATCTGGCACTGTTAGTGTTTTGGGAGGACTAGTATAGAGCAAGAACAAATCTATAGCGGAGATGAATGTTGTGAGTACAAGTATTTTATCTCTGTTCTGTCTGTTTATTTGTCGTTCTGACAGACCCCTTCACTATAAGGTTAAAGGTTCTACTACCTAGTTTTTACCTTGTTTATGTAATACTTTAATAAGTACATGTAACACAGGACTGTAAAGTGCTACAGTTTTATTAGCCAATACTCATTACTTACATTTCAGAATGTGAGTTTATTTCTCACAATTTTTTCATTGTTTACCTCTTATTATAATAAATAAATTCTGCTTTGGTAAATGAAACAGAAATGTGTTTGTAGTCAAAATAAACCGGGCTGCACAAAATAAACACTAATGTTTAAACATTCAAGTAAATTTATTTTAAGGAGTTTATCTTTTTAAAAGAAGACATTTTTGGGTGACCATTTAGTTTAGGTCACAACTCACGCTATTAACAAACCATTACCTAACATACTAGCACAATAAAATACTAATTACTGGTTAAAAATTGTTAATAAGATAGAAGTTGGGTTTATGGTAGGATTAGGGATGTAAAATAAAATCATACTTTATATCTACTAAATAACACTTAATATCCTAATAATAGCCAGGTTGTAAGATAGTAAATAATAGCATGAATTATGGCCAAAACTAAAGTGTTACCCATTTTTGCTCACTAAGACTATTTGATCATAAATACAATAGATCCTGCAAAACTGATCAAAATGATTACAATTAAAAATTTGAATTCTTTGTAAAATGTCAGTTAACCCTGTAATGGAAAACACATATCTATCTCATATTATTTATAGTGCTGGGCATATATAAGAACACCAGTGGTGTAGTCCTAGAAAAAAAGGTGTACTAAAGGTACTATTACACCCGACACAAATTTTAAATGAAAGTAGGCAAAGAAACGACGAAAGTCATTGTTTCTTCGATTCATTGGAGATTTTATATATATATATATATATATATATATATATATATATATATATATATATATATATATATATATATATATATATATATATATATATATATATTTTTTTTTTTTTTTTAAATCAGTTACCTGTATTTAAGTTAACTCAAGAGGCCTGTGCATACATGGTAAGACAGCTTTTTAGCTTACTTTCTTTACTGGCTTATTACTTTACATTTTATAGGTTCCTTTAAACATCAATCAGCAATTATTTTTAATTGTCACATTCATGCATGCTTGTTTTAAACCAAACTATTAGGAGTCTGTCTTCTGTTGTCGCTATTATATACTAGTAGTTACCCTTTTAAATCGCACATTGTTACGCGATTTATGAGTAGTGTTTGCCTAATTGTTTTTAGTGTTATATACGGTATAGTGTTGTTCACTAGCGGCACAATTAAGACAAATGTGAAATACTGTTTTACAGGGGCGATTTTAGGATTTTAATTTTAGGGTGGATCAGGATCAGATCCTTTTGGGGTAAACAAAGAAAAACGCGTCATATAATATTTATGTAAGAAATAGGCACATCTTAACAAATTAAGTTGTGAGTTAAAAAAAAAACCTGTTTGGTATACAGTTAAAGGGGACGCTAATACATGTAAATTAGGGACGTTTAATCGGAAAAACAGGTGAGTATACTGAGGGTATACTCAATTATTGATCCTCAGAAGTGGTAATACCCAAACAGCTCATGGAAAAAAGTAAGCATACTCAGAATACGTGCGTATAGCAAGGACTACACCACTGAAGTACACCCCTTACAAATCTATCTTTTAAATTCAGATTATTTTTTTATAGGAAGCTATACAATATTATATTTGTGCATATACATTAGATAGTCAGTACTGAAGCCAAATCGGGAGCTTATCTAACAAAATAACTTACGATAATGGTCCAAAACTAGTACATCCAAATTTGTGTTATAGAAAAATATTGAATACAAATTTTAAAAAGAGGAAAAAGCAAGAGAAGCAAAAAAATGGAAAAATTTTGTTGAAAATTTGTAGGTTCTAATTTTTATTGCAATATTTAACTTGAATTTAATTGTATTATCTTTTAATTTCTTAAGATGCTCGGTGACTATTTCAATAAATATATCTGTTTAATAAATCTGTTTTGTTTAAATGCACCAAAATACATTGACTATATTCACTGAGAAATGGATAAAAATACTCAATTATGCTGGGCACTGTATGCTTTTCGTTGTCATTGCTGAAATGAATAATCACCTTAATATTTTTATGGCAACAGTGATGCATTTTTTTCCCAGCATTCTTTAATGAATAGAAAGTTTAAAGGAACAGTGTGTATTAAAAATAAATATGTTTGAAAAAATGATTAAAGTCTTTACAGTCACTGATCCGCTTTTCATATTTCCAAACTTTTGAAAGTTACTGTAATCAGTGTGCGAATAATACATTGATGATCAACTTTGGGGGATCAACTTTTTCGGTAATGTTAGTTTTTGTATTAGGTTAAATTACACCTAATTTATTAATAAAATGAGTGGACTTTTTCAGTGTTTTGTGGAATATTATGGTATTATGACTTTTAGTATTCGATTAGCTGCTTCTGAGATTATTGTAAGTCAGACTATGCATCTATTTTGGCTTTACTTTTAGGCTATTTGTAGAAACAAACAGCTATTGCAGGAGAATGCAGTCTTGTGAATAGTTAAGTTGTCTATCGGTGCTCTAGATCTACCCATTTTAGACTGTTTAATAAGTTTTTTTCTGGCAGACTAATTGGCGTGATTACGCATTCACAGTGGAATGAACCATTATAGGGGTGGTCAAATGTATATTTATATTAATAATTAAATTTTTTATATTTATTTTAATTATTAACATACAAAGCAGAGCAAATTATTTCTCAGTATTAAAGAGCTGACCCCCCTTTACATGTTTTGATGTCCTTCAGTGGTAATCAAGCGTTAATTAGGGGTGGTCAGTCCCACCCAAACCCCCCTGTAATTCACACTCTGACTGTAACTACAGTTATTACTATATTCTGGCATACACATTTTTAAGTAAGTTAATACTAAAGTCCTTTCTTTCCAGATGAACATGCCAGTAGTAGTAAAGAAATTAGTTTAGGAAAAAGTGTTCAGTGAACATCAAGCTGAAGGTGCTTATTACACAGAAAACTTCTAAACTTCTATCTTTTCATGGGAAGCGCTTCGCTGTGCTTTGTATAGAGAGAGTGTATGTGTGTGTGATCCTAGATTCCCACATTCCTGTTGTGCATTTGTGAACTCTATGATAACACAGTGCCCACACTATAGCCATGCCAGTGCATATTTCTCAGCATGCGTCTGATTGTGGGCAGTCATGTGTAGCAGTATTTTTAGACAAACACTCAAACGTAAAGATTTTAAACAGCACAAATAGATTGCGGTCACCATCCATTCTTTCAATCTTTCCCTCAGGTAAAGCTGAAGACACTGGAGTGGTAGAAATGGAGTTACCGGTGGCTCGCAACATCAAAATCAGTAACATCACCTGCGACTCCTTTAAAATCTGCTGGGATGTGGATCCACACAGCACAGAGAAGATCACACATTACTTCATTGACCTGAACAAGAAGGAGAACAAGAACTCCAACAAGTTCAAACACAAGGTGCTCACTGATGTGTTATTCAGGCTTTCATTTTTAAAAGAATATTTCATGACACACTTCCTGTGCAATATCTGGTCTTATAATGTTTGAAATAGCTCATAATAATAATAATAATCAAGTGTCTTGTGTGTTTTAACCAACACACTATCAATTAACCTAAAATTGTATTGCATTTTTAATGTTTCTTGCTCTTCGTCTTTAGGATGTGCCTACAAAGCTTGTTGCTAAGGCGGTTCCGTTGCCCATGACAGTGAGAGGCCATTGGTTCCTGAGTCCACGGACCGAATACACAGTTGCCGTGCAAACAGCGTCCAAACAGACAGACGGAGACTATGCTGTATCAGAATGGAGTGACATTGTTGAGTTTTGTACAGCAGGTTAATCACCTACAAATACACATTTATGAAATAGTATGAATGTGACACAAGGCTACTTTATTAATATAGCATATTTAAAGCACAGTGATAATTCAGAGTGCTTTAAATGGTCCAAAATAAAGTTTAAATGAATAGAAATATGTAAAATACTTTATGAATATAAAAAATGAATAAAATTATCACAAAAAGTAATTATATTTAATTACTAAATATTTTTAGGCAGTTAACATTAATCAAATGTAAAAAAAAATCTATGATAACTGATGACAAATAAAGATCTCTCTCTTCATTTTTCCAGATTATTCCCCTGTGCATTTGACTCAGCTGTTGCAGAAGGCTGAAGTCATTGCTGGCAGGATGCTCAAGTTCTCCGTCTTTTACAGGAATCAGCACGAGGAATACTTCCAACACTGCAGGTGATTTAAGAAACATTACCTCAGTAAGATATGCTTAGGATGTGACAGAGGGAGTGGAAAAGGACAGAGTGGAGCTGGTTGAGGATGATAATGAATACCTTGAATAATTTCTCTAGAGATTTAGCTCAGCGTTAGAAAGTACACAGCTCCCTCTAGTGGAATAATGTCCTCATTAATTCACAAGGATTCGTTTTGGTTTTTATAAACTACGTTCATGACTAAATTCACTGCTGTTAAAATGTTTGGGGTCAGTATGATTTTTTTTTTAAATAAAAAATATATCCTTTTATTTGGCAATGATGTATTAAATTGATCTGTCTGTTTGTAATCAGTCTGAAATCTTTAGGGTTTGTCTATAAATACTGCTACATGACTGCTCACCAAAAAAAATACAGAAACAACATTATTAATATTTAAAAAAATTGTAGGGCACTTGTGCTGGGATTCACAAAATACAGATGGTATATGACAGTTTGATTAAAAAAAAAAAACTTGATAGGATTCCCCCAAAATTATTTTAATTCCTAATGAGTTGTTAGTGCATTAAATAAAATGTATGATTAAAATTAATTGGGGTTTTACTTTACAAAACTTTAATTTAGCTAATAAACAAAATCCAGAAAATAAAAAAGGTAATAATAAAAAAGGTAATTATAAAAAAATAAACTTTTATAGGACCCTAATTCTATTTCCAATAACTGCAGAAGTTTTTAATGTTTAAGCTTCCATTAAAAAATCCTAAATAGAAGAACACAGTTTGTACAAAAGCTGTGATAATAATAGCAAATGCTTTTGAACTTTATTTAAAATGATATTTTTAGTTTTATGATTTAAACTTTTTATTGATTTTTCTTATTTGCATATATGCAAATTAATATTATATACAAAGCATTAATATAAAAACAGAACAATACAAAAAAGATTCTATATAAATAATATGCCTATATCATAAATGATATTTACATATATAAATAAATGTAAGCTATCTCAGTTAATAAATAAAGACATTTTTATTTTTATACTAAATACATTATCTTGAGTTGTATTTAGTTATGTATTTACTAGTATTACTAGTCTTACTTGTATACTTATTGTATAATGGGCCCTTTTCAAGCCTGTTATGATGCATTTAATGGTCATCAGCATATTAAATCCATAAAAGTTTTTAATATTTAGATGAACATTTATATGTAAAGTGCTCACCATAAAAGAGTACACCCCTCAAAAATCTATCTTTTAAGTTCATATTTTTAATAGGAAAATTTGCAATATTATATTTGTGCATAAACATTAGATTAGTCAGTACTAAAGCCAAATCTAGAGCTTAGCTAACAAAATAACTTACGATAACATTCCAATATCAAAAATAGCAAAAAAATATATATAAAAAAAATTGAAAAATTGAAATTTTGTAGGTTGTAATTTTGTTGCAACATTTTGCTTGAATTTAATTATCTTTGTGTTATCTTTTATCTTCTAAATATGTTTGGTGACTATAATATTATTTTAATAAATATTTCTGTTTATTAAATTTGTTTTGTTTAAATTCACCAAAATACATTACCTATGTTTACTGAGAAATGGATTAAAATGTTCATTTTCAAAAGGGGGTCTACTCAATGCTGAGAACTGTATATATGTACAGTGTGTATTATATCATCTTAGCGTCAAATTACAAAAAGTGAATCACTGCTTGTGTGAGGCGTTCAAAATGCAGAATGTATAGGCAGGACAGTAAATTTGATGTTGTTCTCTCTTCTGGCTGCCGTCATCCGTCTCGCACTATTTTTTTCCTTTTTTTAAAAGTCTTGATAACACCATCGTGGAGTTCACCCAAATGTACCCAACTATGATGACTTCCACTACTAAGAAATGTGAAAAGGGTCAATAATTGTATAATGCGTCTCTGTTTACCCCACAGAGATGTTCTTGGTGGCAGAATGATGCCCTCAGTGAAGGATAATAGCGGCAGTCACGGGTCACCAATCAGTGGTAAACTAGAGGGCATCTTCTTCAGCTGTAACACAGAGTTCAACACCGGTCAGCCACCGCAGGACTCTCCATACGGCCGCTTCCGCTTCCAGGTGCCCGCTGAGGTTCTCTTCACCCCAGACACACGCCTTTACTTTGGGGACTTCTACTGCATGTACACCGCCTATCATTACGTCATCCTGGTCCTGGCGCCGCGGGGCTCCAAAGGAGACCTTTACTGCAGCGAGCGCCTTCCAGAGCTGGACGTGACCAACAACCGCTTTCTGATGCGACTGTGCGGAGAGGACGGGCACGTGGTCTTTCAGCATGCGCAGGATGTGATTCTGGAGCTGATTTACACAGAGCCGCTGCCGCTAGCTCTGGGAACGGTCTCTCAGATTAGCGGACACCAGCTCATGAGCTTGTCCACCATCAATGCTAAGAAAGACCCCAGCTGCAAGACCTGCAACATCAGCGTCGGCCGCTAGTTTGAGAGCAAACTCACAAATACAGAACCATTTGTGAATATAACATCAAACCGTACTCAAGACGTCATCAACAACTAAACAAACAAGCTTAGAATGGCACATAATCACGATGATTACCATGACAAACAGCCCCCTCTGGATATCACCACATGGCACTCAATTCCCTTGCTAATGCTAGATTTTTTTTAAGGTTGACTAAATCGAGCATTTGACAAAAAAAGTTAATAAATGATCATTTAAAAAAGTTAATATGAAAGAGACAAAATCTATGAAAGCCTGTTTCTGCTGAATTATTTATTTATTTAAAAAAATGTAATTGCACTTTTGTTCTTTTTTCCTCATGATTTTAAGTGAGTTATGAGTTTTTCTCACAATTCAGACAGCTAATAATTGCAAGATATGAAGACTGAATTTGCGAAACAAGCAATAATTGTGAAATATAAAATTGAATTTGGGGAAAAAAGTAAATTCAGTTTTACATTTTTGCAATTTTACATTTATCTCACAGTTCAAAGTTCATATTTCTTGCAAAAATCTAAGTTTAAAAACATTTTCATAATTCAGATCTTTATTTCTCAAAATTCACATATGCTGAGGAAAAAAATGTTTACATTTTTCTTTATTCTAATTGCAAGTTTATAACATAAGATTGCAATAAAAATACTCGGTACATTTTGTTGCAATTCGGAATGCAAAGATAACAGCAAAATTTTTTTTTAAATAATTAAATTGTAGTTTTTATGTTACAGAAACAAACTTTCATATAAAACTGTATTTTCTGCAATATAAGTCACTTTTTAAAATCATATTAACCTTGCTGTTGCTTCTGTTTCAAAGAGATTGTAATGTGTGGTGGTCCAGTTTTCCTGGGTCTGCGCACCCTTAATAGTGGCTGGTTATATAAATTAGCTTAGGGTTGACATTTACAGTGAATGCTTCTGTAATTTTAGCTTGTTTAAAATTACTTCTGTTCTGAGTACTCTTCAATTGTAAGGATTTGTTGTGGAGTGAAGGGACCTAAATGCATATTTATATTGTTTGTAAATGTTTTGTTGTATTTGGGGTACTGAAAGTACTTAGTTTACATAATTTCAGAAAGAAAGTCTTTAACGTGACTCATACACCAATGCAACTTTCTTCAACTTATGCAATTTCAACAATGTGACTTATCTTGCAGAAAATACAGTAAGACAAAAAACACAGACTCAAAGCAAAAAAAAAGAAAGAAAAACTCAAGAGAAAAAAGAAAACTGAGCAAAACAAGTAAAAGCTATATTTCCAAAAAAAAAAAAAAAAAAGAAAGAAAAGTAATCCCACTGTGACTCTTTTATGTATTTTTGGTGCTTGATATTCAGCCCTCAGCTCTGTTTCTCCACAAACCGTGACTTTTTTAAAATCCACAACGATTTACACAAGGATTCTTTGTGCTACATTTCTGCAACGATCGCCTGTGTTTCTTCTCCTGCATGAAGTCTGATCCTTTAAGTGTCAATATGCCACCTCAGCCTTTAAACATGAGAATTTTCTTCAGTAACTCATTCTCTCTTTAGCGTCTGGCACTTTAAATGCCCACGTTTCACTACTGCATGCATACTGCCGATCATCACATTATCCAGATGGATGTGATGAAGAACATCTGCTTTACTAATTTGAGGCCAAACAATCCTTTAAGCACCTCCATGCCACCTCAGCCTTTAAACTTTCTCTTTTACCCTCAGTCTTTTAATTTTCTACTGGGATCGCAGTTCTCCTTTAACCTTTCTTACTTGTTATTTTGTGTTTCAGTGTTCTTTTTTTGTTTTTAGGGATTGTGTGTGTGTTGCAGTATTGATGACTTTTGATGATTCCTGACAGACCGTCGGGCTGTAAGTAGAACTGATTTATCATAAACATATCTATGGCTGGACACTGTTACGTCCAGGTTTTTGAGAGGTTTGCACTGTCCTATCAAAGGCCTGAAGGTCTAATTTGTCTTGCGCTCTCTAGTTGTGAAAAAGTTCAATTTTACAGATGCATGCCTACGATTTTGTGCTGTTCTGTATTTGAACTTGTTCTTTGTTCCTGAAGCTCCAAAGAGCAGACATGATGCACAGTTTTATTGACTTTTTTTAAACTAACAGTATGCTAAAACCTGTGGTCGACATGTAGCTTTCTCTCAAAACAAACTATTAGGATGTTTTGCTTTCTTTTTTGTCCACTGTAATCTGTTCTGTTCTTTATGTACTCATATAATATCGTTCAAAAGTTTGTTGTTGGTAATAGTTTTATAATAATTATTGTTTTTTGATTAACAATTTGTTGTTCTCTATTTTAAAATGTTTTTAACAAATCCAGCATGATCCTTCAGAAATCATTATAATAGGTTGCTTATAAAACAGTTATTAATATTATTAAAATGGAAAATGACAACATTTTTGTGCAAGTCACTGCATTTAGTTTCAAGATCCTTTTCAGTACCAGTATTAATTTAAAGTATAATTTTTACCATTATAAATATTTTCACTAGGGATGCTCCAACATCGGTATTGATAATCACATTTAATGACTCGATCAAGATCGGTATTGGCCCATAATCACAATTAATGACTCAAACAAGTTAGGTATTGACTGATAATCACAATTAATGACTTGATCGAGATTAGTATCGGCTCATAATAACAATTAAAGACTTGATCGGGAACGATATCAGCTGATAATCACTATTAATGACTCAATCAAGATCGGTATCGGCCTATAATCACAATTAATGACTTGATTGAAAACGATATCGGCCGATAATCACATTTAATGACTGTTAAGATCGGTATCAGCCAATAATTACATTTAATGACTCAATCGAGATCAGTATCGGCCGATAATCACATTTAATGACTTGATTGAGATCAGTATCGGCCGATAATCACATTTAATGACTCGATTGAGATCGGTATCGGCCAATAGTTACATTTACTGACTCAATCGAGATCGGTATCGGACGATAATTGCATTTAATGACTCGATCGGTACTCACCAATTTGGTCAATCTCATGAATCGATCGCAGGTGTTTGTTTATGAGTTTACAAGCAGAGGAAGATGCACTTGCGCTCTCGTATATTATACATAGCCACATGGGAAAGCTAGGTTTCTGCTGGAAGTGGTATTAGTAAGGCCAGCAGGGGCGCCCAACCTGCAGTCCTGCATGTTTTTGGGCCTTTTTACATATAAAAACTGAAGCTTTTCTTGATTGAGACATGTTAAATATTTCTTTCATCATTTATAATGTTACTAAATTGCATTGTTTGTAATTTTCCTTCCCAATATTTGAATCTGTGTAACATTATTGTCTGTAAAGCTGCTTCTGGCCATGACATGTTCACACCTAAATGGTTTTAGGAGGCATGGTTAAGGGATTATAAACTTTTATTTATTCTACTAGGTAAGGCGAGATCATCGAGTATCATGTGCTTATTATAAATCTTGAAGCATTAGAATCGGTACTCGATATTGGCCGATCATCATGACAAGGAATCGGTACACTGTATCGGCTGCAAAAATTCTGATCGGTGCGTCCCTAAATTTCACAATTAATTTAAACCAATGCATCTTATTTTATTTATTTTTTAAAATCTTACCAATTCCAAACTTTTGAACGGTTGAAGAAAAAGATAAACTCCAGTGTTTTTTTAAGATTACATATGGATGTGTGTGATTGTCTGCATGTTTTGTTTGTATGTGAGTGTGTGAAGTGTTTAGTGTATGATGTGTGAGTGTGTGTTTGCTTAGGTAAAGGTTTTGAAATACTCTCATCTTTACCAGAGGAAGTCTGTCTTGTCTCTGTGCACTTCATTTGTGAGAAATGGGATACAAAAAATGAAACAAAATAGTTTATTTATGCCATTCATTCATGACTTTTTTTATTGCCTTACTCTTATCTTACTGTGTAGAAAACCTCAGTTCTTCTTATATGGACTCATGCACAGGTCAAGCGTCCCAATCAAGTTCTGGCTGTGTGAATGTGCCTCAGACTGACAGATGTGTTCAGTAAATATCCTGTTTTTCTTGTTGCCATGTTCATAAATACCAAATGTGACTGTTCATTAAAATCATTAAGAATGATACCCCTGTGTGTGCGTTATACTTTGTGTTTTACTTTTGTTATTTGCATGTCTATACAAATATTTTATTGAACCCAAACTTGTAATGATAGTTATAAAAAGCAGTTTTTTGTGATGCATCATATAAATAATAATAAAAAAAAAATCATAGTGTGTTTTCAGTGTGGTGCAGTGGGTAGCTCTGTCACCTCATAGCAAGAAGGTCACTAGTTTGTGCCTCGGCGGGGTCAGTTGGCATTTCTGTGTGGAGTTTGCATGTTCTCCCTGTGTTCGTGTGGGTTTTTCCAGGTGATCTGGTGCACTAGAGGTGAATTGGGTATGCTAAATTGTCCGTAGCGTATGTGTGTGAATGAGAGTGTTTTGGTGTTTCCCAGTGATGGGTTGCAGCTAAAAGAGCATCCGCTGCATAAAACATATGCTGGATAAGTTGGTGGTTCATTCCACTGTGGCGACCCCTGTTTAATAAAGGGACTAAGCCAAAAAGAAAAGGAATAAATGAATAATGTGTTTTCTCAGAGTGACATATATTATAAAAATGGTGCATTGTATTAACCTTACGATGGGTTAAACATCAGCAAACACAATAGTGGGGTCAAATAATTTAATTGAAATTTCATTGAAAATAAAATAAAAATGAAAAAATACAATCCAGCATTTTAAAGTTTGTATCCTATGAATATAGGAAACGCTTTCTGAAATGAAACAGAACAAAAGCAGATATGATTCTTAATTTCTTATAAATTAGTTCTTATAAAATGTGTAATGGTTATAATGAGAAGTATAATGGTTTAAATGGAAGATGTAATAGACATTGTTTGACTCAATTAGTAAGTTGTTGTCTGCTTTTGGTGGCATGTTGAAAAATCCTAATAGAATGTGCCCCAAATTTGTTTTGTTTTCTTTATTTTTTAGCAGGGTTGACCCTTATTCAATAGGATAAAAGTAAATCTATTACGTAATAAGAGATAAATGCAGATTTTTTTATGAAACACAAAACATCAATGCAGAGTAAAAAAAAAACTGAAAGATGCTCACCTGTTCCCTATACGGAGACATCACTAAAATGTGGAACAAAAAGTTATTTAAAATTGTAGGACATACAGTAGCTGCAGTGGTTTGCCAACTCTTTAAAAATAAAACAACAAACAATAGCAAAAGTTGTCATTTGTATATATATTTTTTTACATTGTCTAAATGCTTTTATGTTTTACAAGGATATATAACTTCATTTGTTTTAACTGGCAAAAGTTTTTTTATTATCATGCTTTATGTTTATGCTCAGCAAACAAGCCTTTTAATTATTATTAATTTAATATATAAAATATAACCTAGATATTTAATGGGAGCTATTGATGATGATGATGATGATGATTTGATATGTGCTTTAATTAAACATTAATTTATTCATACATTCATTTTCTTGTCGGTTTAGTCCCTTTATTAATCAGGGGTCGCCACAGCGGAATGAACTGCCAACTTATCCAGCAAGTTTTTACGCAGCGGATGCCCTTCCAGCCGCAAGCCTTCTCTGGGAAACATCCACACACACATTCACACGCACACACTCATACACTACGGACAATTTAGCCTACCCAATTCACCTGTACCGCATGTCTGTGGGGGAAACCAGAGCAGAGGCAGAGAGAGACATGCAAACTCCACACAGAAACGCCAACTGAGCCGAGATTCGAACCAGCGTCTCAGCGACCTTCTTGCTGTTAGGCAACAGCACTACCTACAGTGCCACTGCCTCGCCCTGTAATTAAACAGTGTGAAAATAAAATTTAAAACTAAATATAATTTTTTTTTTTTTTTTACTTGTGTAAAACTTGTGAAAAAACTTTTTCACACATTTTATGCATTGTTTTCATTGAACCCTAAATTATAAATTAAAGTAATACATTATATATATGTTAAAGTTTGTTGTTGGTAAAGTAATAAATCACTGAAATTTTTAACTTGTATAATCATCAAATTGTTCCAAATTTATTGAATTTCCCCTAAGGGACAAAGTCTTAACTAACTAGCCAAGTGGTTTGAATTAGTTTTTTTCTGCTGGTCCCCTTTTTTTATGTCAAACAAAGAAACTCATGCTTATTTTGAGAGTAAAAATATGGTGACATTAAACTTTAGGGTGAACTTAAATATTTTCATTGGTTGTGTAAGTTAACCACCACAAAGAAACAGACATTCTCACACTCCAGTTAAAATGTAGATTAAAAACGTGTCTTAAATGTGTTATTAATTAAATGTGTGTCATTCCTTTATAAACGATTACTGAATGCTGCTGCCCTCTAATGGTGGCAAAGTTTCCTACACGTTTCCTTTGTGTCACTGTAAGCAAAAAAAAACTTTAAAAAAGTTTTGATAATCTCTGTAAAGAAACAGTATGTACATACGTGCAATATGCAATATACATGCGTTTAAATGACTGTCTTATAAGTAGTTCGTATCTTTAAGGCTTCCTTAAGCAGGATAACATTTTACCTCAGTGAGTGATTTCTCACACACACACTGACGCTAGTGGGAGGTTTCAATTCAAGTCAACTCAAACCGGGACTCAACGGGACCCACAAGCGCACTTTAAAACCGCACGAGCCCGGGACGCTGCTCACTTTACGATGATTTTAGTCAAATTCGTGTGCGCGATCATAACCAGGTCATTGTTCATCCTGGTCTCTCTCATCGGCGTCTGGAGAGTGAAAACGGTGAAAAATGACAACATGTACTGGTTACTTACCATCCTTTACCTTCCTCTGGTCGTGGAGATGATCATCACTTTAAAACGAAGGAAAGGGCAAGACTACAAATGGTGGGTAACTTTATATTTCTTTAAAGATATCCTCGACAGATTTATACAACGATTAATAATAGTGTTGACATACTTATTCAGCTGCCCATGATCATTTTCTGCTGAATGAAATCATTGTTAGCGGTGCAATAAACTTTTCTTCAGCGTGTCCAATTTCTGTTTATTTCTTTTAGGTGACTTAGTGAGTAGCCTTGTCCTGCGCTGAGATTTCAGTTGTATTTATAATTACTTTTATTCCTAAAAAGTGATCGACATTCCACACTATTTCCCTCCCCCTCAGTAACATCCTGCTAGACCCATTGTTACTGTTGACAGAGTAAAGGGTGTGTGTCAAAACACAAAGATACTAGTGGTCTAGTTAGAGTAATCTAAAAGGTTACCCAACAGTGACCCTAAAAAAGACTGTGGTGGAAAGAGTACTGAAAAAATCATACTCATGTAAAAGTACCATTACGTGCCTAAAATTGTAGTGCAATTCGAGTAAAAGTATCTGTTGTAAATATTAGGCTACTTAAATATGAGTAGAAAAGTTGCAATTCAAAAGTAGACCAAATTTCAATGTCTAGCCAGGATTTAAGGACAACATTATTTTGATGTTTAATAATGACATCAAATTAAATAGATATTCGGTTGATTCTTGGTTATGTTAGAAACTGACCAAAATCCAAAGTCAAGCCAACATATTGCCCTCAGATACTGACATTTATTCGTCAAGTATGGCAACCAAAATCCAACATCTGATAGACGTTATAGTGGTATTGTCCACACAACGTCAAACTGTAACATCATTAGATGTTGATATTTGGTTGATTTTAGGTTGGACGTTGGGTTCTGATGTCAACCCGATTTTCATTTCTAAATGAAATGCAATGTCTTTACGATGTTGGGGTACAATGTCAGTCTGACCGTCATGTTGACATCTTGTGCCTGTCACGGTTTATGGATCTGTGTGTTCCTCCTGTATGTTATGTATCATGCCTTGTGTGTTGTCATGTGTGAGGGTGTGTGTTTGTTTACCTTTTGTGTTGACAGCGTGCTAGGATCAGCTCCTTGGATCCTCCTTGTCTTGATTCGTGACAGTGCCTGCTGGGTGTTTAAATGCCATTTCGGTCTTCATATAGTAAAGATTTGTCAACTTCTCCTCAGTGACATGCATCTAAACAGTCTCTGGGTCAATGCATGTAAAGATTTTTACATCTTCTTGGTCACTTTCAATGCTTCCAAACAGTTTGCTGCAGTTATATATCGCCCATGTCTTGAGGTTGTTAATTATGATGCGATTTACCTTCTATGTGCGTTTTTGATTGGACAGGAATCACAGGACTGATCTTTCTAATCCCCTTAGACCAGAAAAAAATAAAGTAGTGACTGCAGGTTGAAGGAAAATAGTGGAGTAAAAATAACAATACTACACTTAAAAGAGAGTTTTTGAGAAAACCACTCAATTAAAGTAATTTTAGTTTTTGTAATTTGTTACTTTACACCACTGAAAAAGGATAATACAAATAATAATGATCCCAGTTAATCAAAAGTTGTTCTGTGTTTTAATTTGTGTTATGTTAAAGTGATGTTTAAATGATTTTGTGCATCTTCAGGTTTTCTCCAGCCATCCTCCTCTTCCTCATCAGTATTATTCCATCTATATGGATTCTGGAGTTACACCATCAGGAGAACAAAGCCAGTGACCCACAGGTATCCTGCAGTTTAATTTACTGAAAATTTTTCCTCATTATACAGTCTTTTTCTTTATAATTTATTCATTCTAATGCCTTGTATACAAGCTTTGATTTTCTTCCTGTCTTTATGTGCTTTGTCTTTTACACAGATATATAGTTTCATTTGTCATTGGCAAAAGTTTTTGTATTTTATAACAGGGCTGGGCCAATAAACAATATTATATCGTATCGTGATAAAATTTGTGTCAACAAAAATGATAAGCAATGATATGGACCTTTTTACTCTATATTGATCTAAGAGCTAATCACACAGCAGAAATGTACAGCAATGGGAATCTAAAAGTGTGTTTACATTAGAGATGTACCGACAAATTATTCAGATGAAAAAGTTATGCCATTTAATAGACTCTCTAATTTTTGTGGCTTCAGTCATTGTTGGGGTACTCTTTTAAATCTGGAACCATTAACAACGTATATCGAAATGTATATCTTTATTGTTTTATATGGACAATAATTATGTAGATTGGATTTTTGCCATATCCCCCAGCCATATTATGCTTTATATTTATGCTCAGTAAACAAGCCTGTTAATTTATGATTAATTTATAATAAAAAATATAACCTTTGTCAAAGACGTTATTTGTTCAAGAAAATCATAAAATATCCCACGTATATCCAATATTAAGAAAAGGGATTAATTATTAATAAATCCCTTTTTGGATTTCACATTGTCATTCTGACTTATTTTGTAGTGAGAACAACTTTTAAGGGCTAGTTCACCTAAAAAGTTTAAATGTTGTCATGACTTACTCATCCTCCACTTTTCCCAAAGCTGTTTAAGTTTCTTTCTTTTTTTGAACACAAAGCAAGATGTACTGAAAAATGTTGCAAAGCACCAGCCATTGACAAACAGTATTTTTTATGAATCCAAAACATAAATATAAACAAAAGTATTTTATAAAACCAAACAAAAAGTGCTTTAGGGGTAGTTAATGTATAATTTTTTTCACTTTTTGAGTTCCTTGGACTTATTTCAAAGTATTTTATATTTATACTTGTGATGTCTATATCAACATTCTTCAAAAAAAATTTTTTTGTGTTCAGCAGAAGAAAGAAATTCATAAAAGGTTAGAACCACTTGAATGTGATTAAATAGTGAGAAAATGTTCATTTTTTGGCGAACTATCCCTTTAAGGCAGTTTTTCTTAACTAGTGGGTCACAAACCAAAAGTGGGTCGCGGGAACATTTTCAGTGGGTTGCGTAGTGTGTGGTCAAAAAACAACAAAAATTGAATTTTTAACTTATTTTAACTTTTATTTTGAAATGCGTGCATGACAACCCTACCGTTTGACGTGAAATTTCATTAAATTATGGCAACAAATATGTCAAAGCGCAAGTACGACCCTGAATATGTATAGTGTGGATTTACATATATTGAGGACAAAAAAGACTTAAAGCCTCAGTGTGTCATAAGTAGCGAGATGCTCTCACAAGAGAGCATGAAACCTTTTAAATAAAGACGACATTTAGAAACCAGACAACATGTTTTATTAACAGTTCAGTTTAGTTCGTGGTAACTGAACCTTTCCTTACCCTAACCACTGTTTACAGTATTTGCGTTTTTTACTTTGTAATTTTTCTATAATTTGATACATTTTGTTAAATGACAGCAATAAAATATTGTTTATTTGTAAGTCTTTGTGATTTTCTTATGATTTATCTGTCACTACTTGTGTATTGTAGTTCCTAAAAATCTGGGTCGCGGCTTGATGACCATGTAAAAATTGGGGTACCATGGCCAAACCAGTTGACAACCCCTGATTTAAGGCACAAATGCTCGAACTAGGGCTGTCTCATCTGAGAACAGAGGGAGAGTAATGGGGATGGTTTCGAGATTGTCTTTTCAAATTAAATGTAACCTTTCATTTGTTTGTTTTATTGTTAAGCTTAAAAAGCTACTGTGTTATAAATGTGATTGTTTTTATTGCAACAATTTATGTTCTAATTACTGCATTAGTTAATATAATTCAAAGTGATCTTTCCTATTTATTTTTATATATTAGGAAATAAATTAGGAAATTACCCATGGCAACTTGAATGTAAAATAGTTTGGTGTATTTATCTTTGACCCTCGGCTCTCAATAATATTTGGTATTTGGCCCTTCTTACATCCTGATGAATGGGTTTTTGTGATGTTTACAATGCTCTTATATAAGCTGTCATTCCTCACTAATTAAACTTTGTGCTTATTTTTTGTATCTGGCAGTGTAGGAAACTGGACTCTTGGGACAATGTCAAGAGCATATTACCATCTAACGGCACTATGGGCAATGCAACACTAAAGGTATTCTTTAAAATCAAATCTACACTGTAGTGTTGTGCATCAGCTACAGCAAACCACACATGCTTCCAATTTACAATTCAATTCCTGTGGTCTATAACCCAGTTGGTTTCCCTCATAAAGCAACATCGGAAACATTTTTTCTATTGCTTTCTCTTTGTCTTTCTCTAGTATACAAATCAAATCTAACATAATTTAAATCAAGAGAAGTAATCGTGAATCCTCACTAATATTTTGCTAGTTCCCTCCACCTCTGCTTTTGTTTTGGTGGGAGTTCTCTTAAACTTTGCCTTTGTTATGTTTGATGGAGGACATCCAATATGCATGTTAACGCTAATGGGAATTTAAACGCTCCAGCAAGAAACCTTTATTATGCTTGACATTTATTCTGCCTTTATTCCTGTGATATGCTATGATTACTGGACTTCATCCCTGTACTCTCCAGAGATGCAAGAACATTTGAAACTATCTGTTCTTGATTTTCTTGCAAAAATCAAGCGTAATTAATTTGATCTTGTACAAATTAGCTGATGCTTTTTTTTTTGCAAATATGGCTGAAATAAAGGCATACAGTATGTTTGTGTAAAAATGAAACATAATTACAATGTTATAACAATTTATTTACAATGTTGTAACAATGTAATTACAGCGTTATTACATAGCAACTTATGTTACAATGATGTAATTGAAATGTTATAACTGCAATTACAATCTCATAACAATATCATTACATTATAATTACTTATAATGTGGTAATTACACCGTTATAACATTATAATTTCTATGTAATTACATAGTTATAACATTGTAATTAGATTCTAAGAACAACATACTTCATGCTTATTGTAATGTGGACGTTGACAAGGAAGTGCTGATCCAAAAGCAGGTTTATTAAACAGAGATGATCAGGCAAGGAACGGTCAACACAGAGGCTAACAGATGTACACAGGCAAATCCAGAGTTGTAGTCATGCAACAGGCAGATGGTCAAAAGACAGGAAGCAGTCAACATAAACAAACAAAACAAAGCTAGACTCAAACACGGCAAGGCAAGAAAAATGCGTTGTAATGTTCACAATGAGTTTAAGACTCAGCAACATATGTGTGTGTTTGAGAGGTGTATAAATTGTCTGTGTAATTAGTCCTAAACAGCTTCAGCTGTGTCTGTATGAGTGTGTGTGTGTGTAATGAATGGAATGAGGAACTGGTGTGAGTGAGTGCTGCATGACAAGATTTGTAGTCCATATAACAGCGAATTTGAAGTTAGCAGCTGCTAGATCGCTGGTGAACATAACACTTATCCTGTACTTTTCAAAATGTATTATTGAATAATAAAGTTTAATGTTTGAATTAATTTAAAAGCTTCTTAATGACAAATATCTCAAATTAATGAGTATTTCTGGGCTGCACTGAGGATTATTTATCTAATGGATGACAGTATTTTTTAGTGTATAAACGATTGTTACACTGAATAACATTTTAAATAGACACGTTTGAAAATTTGTATTAAATTTATATTTGTTAAAAAAGATTTAACAGGGACAATATGCTCATTAATCAACAGTAAAAACTGTTAATAAGGCAGAGTTAGCTATGAGGGCTAATTTTCATCTGTTGCCCCTGCCAGATTAAAAAAAAGTCAACCTAAAATCAAAAAGACATTATTCATTTATTCATTTTCCTTCGGCTTAGTTCCTTAATTCATCAGGGGTCACCACAGCGGAATAAGCCATCCAAAAAGAATTATTACAAATACAATATAAGAAAAATTACATACAACACAAATATAAAACAGATTGAGAAGAATATTAATATTAATTATTATTTTTTAAGACTTGAAAATCTGTATAACATGCTGTTGTGTTTTTTAGTATCTGGAGAGCATGCTGACCTCCGTCTGTGCGAATGACTGGATCCTTGCCCTTCATCAGGTTCTACTCATTCTACTCATCCTTGGAAAGTGGCTCCTTCCATTAGGGGGCGGAGTAACACGTGACGAGTTGTCACAGCTTCTGCTCATCTTTGTGGGCACGGCAGCAGACATTCTGGAATTCACCAGCGAAACTCTGTCTGATGTCAAGTGGGTACTTCCTGTTCTCATCTATAGACGACAAGGGCTTGAATAAATACCAGTTCATAGGGGTGGGCAAAAATACATTGAAATGTATTTTTAAATAAAATAGCAAATACCTCCATTTTAAGTGTATCAAAATAAACTATAAAATACAGCAGCCAAAATTATTAGACAAGTACTGTAACTTATGTTTCTCTTTGATTTTAGGACAGATTTTGTACAAATTTCATACAGAAAGTATTGTCTTGAAGATGATCCCTATAATCACTATAAAATCATATTATACATCATACTAAGCAGATAAAGAGTTGGAATATTATACTATCTCTTTATTGTGAAAATTGCCACCATCTCTTGAAAGTCTTGTATTTTAAAATTTGTAAAATCACGATTTCTGAAAACTACTAAAACCTCCAGTTTTAGTAACTTCTATTTTTTTTGCAGTTGTACTCCTCGATACACAATATAAAACATACTGTACTGTACATGAAATATGCTAAAATACATTTACAATACTATCATAGATGTAATTACAATTTTATAACAATATAATTACAATGTTATAACAATTTATTTACATTGTTATAACAGGGTAATTACAGTGGTATTACATAGTAAATTATGTTATAATAATGTAAATACAATGTTATAACATGCAATTACAATCTCATAACGATGTCATTAAATTATAATCACTTATAACCTTGTAATTACACTGTTATAACATTATGATTTCTGTGTAATTACAGTTATTACATTGTAATTACATTGTTACAATAATGTAAATACTGTTATTACATAACAATTACTTTTTTAACAATGTAATTACAATGTTATAACAATATTGCAATGTCATTACGATATAATTACTATTTAAAATTACTATTTAAAACTATTGTTTTAACATTGTAATTAAATTGTTATAACATTGTAAGTACTTTATAACATTGTGGTTTAAACTATGAAATTACGTCAATACATAGTAACTATAATGTTATAACAATGTAAATACAATGTCATTACATTCTAACTACTGTACTAACAGTTACTATGTCATTACATTATTACTATGCAACAACATTACGTTACATTAACAACATTATTATAACAGTGTAATTAATATGTTACTACAACATAATTACTGTGTTATGCCGTTGTAGTAATAGTGTAATTACAATGCTAAAACAATATTATTATGATGCAATTACAATGTAATAGCATTATTAGTAGTAATATTTAATTACAGTGTTATAACAATTTACTTACAATGATTTTACACGGTAATAATTCAATAACATAGTAAATACATTGTAATTACATTGTTTTAACACTGTAATTGCTTTGTTTCAACATAGTAATTATAATGTTATAACGATGATATTTTATAAATATCTTGGATGTAATTACAACGTAATGACAGTATTTAAGTTTGTAATTACATTTGTACTGTGTATATTTACGTATACAACTATAAATACCTAAATACTATAGGAAAAAAAACGTATGCATTTATAAATATTATCTATAATGTAACTGTAATGACATAGTATTTAATATATAAATAAAATGTATAAAATGTAATGACATAGTATTTACAATGTAATGACCAAATACTGCACATTAGAGATGCGCGGTTGGCGGTTATAGCCGCGGACTCCGCGGATAAACCGCGGATCGGGCGGATGACGTTACGAAAAAATAATATTTTAATTAAATTCGGGCGGGTGGCGGGCGGTTGTACTGTTTTTATATACATAGCTGGCGCACCAACGAAAAAGCCTAGGACTGACTTCACAGAATGGGAGGAGGAATTGGTTACACTAATTCTGGATGAAGTGTACAGAAGTATTCCTCTACAAACTTCCGTATAGACGGATATTCAGAGCAAAATCTACTTTCCTTTTGGGAGAAATAAGGCAGGCATTCCCACGACTACAGCACCTTTCCAAGAGAATTCTATGCATTTCAGCAACAAGTGCTGCGAGCGAGCGCTCCTTCAGTGCAGCAGGGCGCATTATAGTGGCTATGCAGGCGCTCCCGTCTGAATCCTGACACAGATGCTATTTTATTCCTGCATTGTGCCAAGAAAAAAATCGAACTAGACCTAAGGTCAGGCATATTAAACCAATTAGCCTATGTTATTTAGGCTACACATGTGTTCAATATAAACTTTTGAGTTCGGTCAGCTGATAATTTTACGTTCATATTGGTTTAGCCTATTCTATTCTAGACATGTTGGCCTCGCTTTTACGTTCCGAGGCTAAGGTTATTTTGCCAGAATTTCTTTGTCGCAACTTTAATGGCGTAGTATTTCGTTATGCTTCAAGTTTGAGGGGAATGGGGATGATCCTAAGTCTATGGGTTATTGGGGCACTTGTCATACATGCACTTTAGCCTGGTCAGACTATGTTCGCTCAAAGAGGGATGGCATATCTATTTTTCTAATTTAATTTCTAATTGTGGGGGTGACTGAGCCTACAAGGCTTAGGCCCGATATGACGTTTTTATTAAAACATTTTCAACTGTTTGCCAAAGCATGCGACTATAGCCTATGCCTACATTAAGATATTTATGTTAATATTTTTTTTTACTGCCTGTTGTTTCTTTTGGCATATAAAATAGGTATTGTCTGATAGAGATATCAATATAGGTTCATCTGTGTCGCAGAACTGTGTTGTTTCCGATTTCTACAAGCTCAATAACATCCACAGCCAAAAATAAAAAATAGTCGAAAAACTGTGCCCATTAATTAGATGTGCAAGGCAAGCAGGTACGTTTTTGGGGTTGCTATGGACAACTACAAATGTAAACATTATTAGGCTATAATGTAAATGACTTATTATTCTATCTATTTACTAAAAAATTAAGTGAAATAGGCATTTATTAGTAGGCTAAATAGCAGCATGTTGAAATGATGTGTCAATGCGTTTTCTATTAGGCTACAATAAAAAAAAAAAGTTGTACAGTACAGTGCGTTTAATTTAGGCTATTTATTTATTTTTGTCCCTGTGCGCCGATTGGAGACGGAGTTCACTGCTGATATTCTGAGAGCTCGGGTGCTTCTCATTTCTTATTTGTGCATCCTCGTTACCTTTCCTTGCTTTCTTTCCTCGTGTTTCCACCCCACCGGGATAACTTTACGAGGGAAGGACGCAAGGAAAAGACTGAAGGACCGAGGAATCGAATCAAGTGAAAAGACACGTCCTCGTATCTTTAGCGTAACTTCAAAGCATCGTCAATTAATGACTTGCACGTTTGGATTAACTGCATGTCTACATTAAAGTCATTCTCTATTATATAATGATTAATAAAGAAACATTCATTTAATAAAAAAAGGAATAAGCCATTCAAATAAAGAGCTCAGTCAGCAGATGGCGGGCGGGTGCGGTTTTAAAAATTGGTCAAAAATGTTAGTGCGGATGGATGGCGGACGGATGATGAATTTCGTCATGCGGTTGCGGATGAAATAATAGCCCATCCGCGCATCTCTACTGCACATGCAATATACAAAGAAATATTTACACTCTTTAAATATTATCTTGGATGTAATTACAATGTCATTACATACAAAATAAAAGTTTGTAATTACATATTATAACTTGGCGTTATCAAATTCTATCTGCGTTTTAAATGATTTTGAGATATTGAGCTTCAAAAATTTACATTCTTTATAGCAAACAATATGTGCATAACAGTTCTCTTTCAAACATTATCATGATAGACATTCTAAATGTACTCTAAATGTACATTATCAAAATTCTCTTAGATTTGCAAATTGGGGTTAATAAAAACAGGGCAAATAGCTGAGGAAGCACCAATGTAGACGTCTTACAAAGTATTTTACAGTATTTTAAAAATACAAAAATGAAAGACACTAAAGTAATTTGATACAAAAGCCATTAAGCCATTTTCATAAACCCTATCAAATACCATTTTGTATTTAAAATACATATTTGAAATAGATGTATCATAAATACTGCTCATCCCTGCCATTTCACATGATATACATCTGCATTGTTCTCTCTTTTTTTTGGTACATTTTTTTTATTTTAGAAAGAAATACAGTTGAAGTCAAAATTATTAGCCCTCCTGAATTATTACCCCCCCCCCACCCCCCCTGCATATTTTTTTCCCTAATTTTTGTTTAATGAAAAGATTTTTTTTTTAACACGTCTTAGAATATTAGGGTTTTTCTTAATATAAATTCTAATTCTAATAACTAATAATGATTTCTTTTATTTTTGCCATTATGACAGTGCACAATATTTTACTAGATATTTTTCAAGATACTAGTATTGAGCTTAAAGTTCAATTTTAAGGCTTAACTCGGTTAATTAGGTTAATTAAGAGAGTTATGGTAATTAGACAAATCATGGTTTTAAAAAAACATTTTTTTTCTTCTGGGGAAGGACTTATTTGTGTTATTTTAGCGAGAATAAAAGCAGTTTTAAAGGAAATACTGTGAAAAACTTCTTGCTCTGTTCAACATCATTTGGGAAAGATTTCATCCATTCATTCATTTTCTTGTCGGCTTAGTCCCTTTATTAATCTGGGGTCACTACAGCGGAATGAACCGCCAACTTATCCAGCATGTTTTTCACGCAGCAGATGCCCTTCCAGCCGCAACCCATCTCTAAGGAATGGGAAAGATTTGAGAAGAAAAGAAAAACAATCAGAGGAGGGCTAATAATTTTGACCTACATACAGTAATATCTATAACAGACAAAGAGTTACAGATTGTATGTTCCTCCCTTTAACAGCAACTATATACACAGTATGTAACTAATGTTTTTCACATCACACGTGTACTGTATCAGTCCATTTATCTTCATTTCTTCAAAACTACTTTTATTCTGCAAAGACACATGCACAAGACACAATGTTTCAAAACATTTCCACTTCAGTTGATGTTCTTTTGATCTCCCTATTCAGCAGAGAATCTTTTAAAAAAAAAATCATGTTTTTCACCAACTGAAAATGAAAAGGAAAGTTCCTGAGCACTAAATCACCACATTTGAACTTGGCACTGGAGTAATGAACTACAAGTTATTAAAGTGTATGTATTATGTGCTGTATTCTGAATTTGAGCAATGATTATTTGTCCAGTTCATTTTTTCAGGTGCTCGAAAATATGCCATTTTCTAATTGTTCCATTTGAAATGGTTGTTGAAGGACAATTAGTGAATCATATTTCTCATTCCCCAGTCATAACAAATTACACATAATTATTGGGTGAAAAAACAATAAAAGCCCTTGACATTTCCCTTTCAAACTTTGATTTGTGCAATGAAATGTCAACCTGGTATGTTTAAAATTGAGGTTAATGTTACTGACATTTACTGACAAGCAAATATCATCACCACTTTTTACTTTATACCACTTTATATATTTAATGTACAATAATTTTATCAGGGACAATGACAAAATTGACATTTTACCTTGGACAAAAACAAAACAAAAAGTTTCATGTATCAGGTTTCTTTGTATTACACACCAAACACCTTTAAATCAATCATTTTATTACTTATTTTTCAGAATCTTCAGCTTATTTAGTTTATTTACATTATGTTTGTAATACAGGCCGGCACAGTGGCTCAGTAGCTAGCACTGTCACCTCAAAGCAAAAAGGTTGCTGGTTCGAGTCCCAGCTGGGCCTGTTGGCATTTCTGTGTGGAGATCAAGTCGAAAGACTTGTGGTATAAGTGAATTCGATAAGCTAAATTGGCGGTAATGTATGTTCCATAGTGTATGCGTAATGGAAATCCTAAAGATGCAAAACCTCACAAATAGAAACACAAATAGAAAAACACACTGCAAATCCTCCCTGCACATGCACATTTTGATCTGATAAAAGTTAAAATGTTGTATTCGGATTACGTTTTCCTTTCCATCATTAGCCTGCCATAAGGGCCTGAATATTATTATTCTTATGTGCTATTTATTTTGACCTCATTTTAACAATGAAGCATTGTGAATTTATATTCCTTAACCTTGAACTCAACTATTTAGTTGTTAAAATGGGATTACATTCATTCATTATAATAGGTTTTCATGTGAGTCATGTAAGCACAAATGGCTGCTTTCCTGAGTAAGGGCCATTAGAGTTGATTTAGAGTCGATTGTTTCCATCAGAAAGTAACAATCTGAAAGATAAGCGTTTTGTTACTGGGAATTTTGCCTGTCATTATTGTCCTTATCTTATGTACGAATTCTGCATGCATTATTTGTTTACGCAAATCAGTCTAACACATTATTCTCGATGTGTTATAGGGAGAACAACCATCAGCTGGTGTATATAATCTTGGCAGTGTGGACGTGGAGCATGTTACAGTTTCCTTTGCACCTCGCAGGTTTGTGATCACCTGTTTAACGTGTGTTTCTTTACACATCCCACCATCACATATGTTGCTCTGAACAACAGAAAGAGGGGCGATGAAAAAGTTCAGAATCCTTCAAATGACTGGAGAAGGGTCCTGCTGTTTCGTGGAATCCCCGATTGAAGCTCAAATATCCTAAATCTTTCATCCGGCTCCATCAAAAGTATTTTTCTTACCCTTGCAGCTCGCACAAACTGGTGGACTGGGATGGAGCTCAATGTAGTGTAACAGAGCTGGACGGCATGTGTTTTTGTTGAGTTCTTCTCTACGCACGTTTCCCTTTGAGGATTGAGTGTTTTGGCAGCTACGCACACTTAAACATCACCAAACCCCATAGAAAAAGGAGTGGGCGGATTTTCTTGGAGCATGTGAAGCATTTACTGTAAATGCAACTGACTTTTAACTTCTGCAGTTTACTCACACTGCTCTGTAAACTTACAGCATTCTTTTACAAACACATACATGTATACAACAAATAAACATTTAGTAACATAAATATTATAGACATTAAATTATTTACCACAATTGAATTAACCCCAGCAGCTTCAACTTCACCAAAATCATTTCAACATTTTTACAAACTAACTTTTTAATAAAAGAATGACAAGATAAGCTGTATCCAAACATGATAAAAAATTTACACAACATTTAATTGGCTTGGATTTATCATATTTAGGTTTTTACATTTGCGCTTGATATTGTTGTTTAATCTTTCGGAATGAAAGACGTCTCTTAATTTTAGATTTAAAAGGGTTATTGTGAAATATGAGCTCATTTAAAAGGCACCTATGATGAAACTGTGTGTCTGTATAGTGTGTCTACAGTTATATTGGAGTTATATAAAGACAGTAAGTCTCTTTATTTAAATTTGCTGACGTTAAAATAGGATCCAAATCCCTCCCATTTTGAGGACTGCCGCAACGTGACGTAGTCGTATAGTTTCCACACCTGCCAAATTGATTGGCATCAGCGTATTATCATGTCTATATAGTAACGTGTATAATCATATTAAAACAGGGCGTGCGTAAAGCAACTAGGATTAAAAGATCTGTTCAGCTCGCTATTATAATCAATCATCATCAAATGTGATCAGTAATGAGTTTTACTTTTTAAAACAGTGCATGTTTGTAATAAATTACGGCAATTTTACTTTTTCACCACAGTCGCATGTTACTATAAAAGAAGATACTTCAATTCTGTTTTTTTCTGGTTTTTTGTACATAAACACAACAGATATGTGTATATGTGTAAACTTTGTAACAAAATTGTGTGTGACTCATCATTGCAGAAAGGCTTGGATTACCTCCATGTGAGGGAGCCGTAGGTGAAGACATTGAAGCGGAATGAATCCAAAAGCTGGAGGTTTATTAAACAAACAGCTAGCATCAAACAAAGGCAGAATCGTGATCATGAACCAGTCAACGACAAGCAAACAAAGAGGCAGTCCGAAAAAGCAAACAAGGCAGAGTCCAAAATCCAAAAACAGTAGTTAAAAGGGCAGGCAAAAAGGTCATAACACAATGGCAGAAACAGTAGTAGGAAACCGCTTAGCAGGCAGTGAAACTGGCAATACTTCGCAAAGAACAGACATAAGCCATGTGCTTATATGGTGGCTACCAGGAAGTACCACCGAGGAAGTATCAAGTCAATATTCGGGAGAGAGCTCCCTCTAGTGGGCGGATGAATGGTAAGCTGCCATATTCGTTACACTCCACAACAAATACATCAATTGATCATTGGGAAAGGACTTACTGTAGTATTTCTCACAAACATTACATTAGATCTGCTTCCCTTATGTCTGTCACTGTGCTGTTTATCTGATGCAGCCTGAGATTGTGGCACACTCTTTCAGGCATGTGGTAACGGTTGCCAAGGAGAACTAGCATTAAAGGCACAGACAACAAAAACAGCTACATTGTGTTCAGAGCAGAAAATTCCAACATTCTGAAAGGTATAACATTCTGAAGACATTTACAAAGACATTCTGAAGTCGCAAAAAACTCATCTTACATCTTGAAAAAGGCATAAGGTGCCCTTTAAAATAGTATTGTATTGATTTTTTTTTCTATTTTAGAATACTTTTCTATGTCCCAGTCTTAAGTGAACTGCCAGCCGCTTCTCTTATTTTTTCTCGCTGATATATTTACACTCAGAAAAAAATATTTTTGATGCTTGTTCAAACTTCTTATTTAAAATGAGCTAAAACAACACAATTCTTGAATATTTTGGGGGGCAACTTAGTTGTTTTATGTTCAATCTGCTTAAATTCATTAAGTTAACTTAATTTGTGTTGGGACATCATAAATAAATTGTGTGGAACAAACCATGAATTTTTGCAGTGCATGATGAAGATCTTTATATTAGAAATTTGGAAACATGTTTGCATTATTATACTGATCTAGAGCTCATCCACAATGCTGAGAGTATCCCAGTAACATTTTCACTCATTACAAATCTAAAAGACATTCTTTACTTGAATACAAACAAACATATTTTAAAGGTTAAAAGCTGGTAACAATTGAATTTCATGGTAATTGTTTTGCCTACAGTACTATGGGAGTCAATGGTTACCCGTTTCCAACATTCTTCAAAATATCTTCTTTTGGGTACAACTAAAAGAAAGGTTTGAAACCCCTTTAAGGGCAAGTAAAAGCTGAGAAAATGTTCATTTTTAGTTGAACTATCCATAGTATAACTGTCTATTTATTAAATACTGACACTTAACATGAATTGTGTCTTCTTTATGTGATGTTCCAGTTGTGACGTCCCGCCCAGAGAACACAGATGAGCCCAAAGGTGGAGACGGCTGCTGTAACCTGATCTTGTCGAGACACAGCACAGACATTTGGAACATCGTAGAGAGTTTGTTCATCCAGGACGGGCCGTTTCTGGTAGTGCGTTTGATTGTGATGATATACTTTGATGTTTTCCACCAGATGCTGGTCTTCTTCGCTATTAAGAACTTTCTAGTGGTGGTTCTCAACCTTTACAGGCTCATCGTCATCTGTCAGGACTTTAGACCAAAACCACCATCATCATCTTCCTCTGTCCCGATCTGAGGAAGGAGGAGTTCAAAATTACCTTTTAACTTCTAAAATACTGATAGAGATGCATCCTTATGGCTTTCAAACAGGAGTTTTATTGTCTTCTTTTTGTTTTTTTAATATTTTTTATGTTTAGTTTATCAAATTAAATAGAACGTAGAAATGCTTCACTAGCTAGCCCAACTTTTATACATATTTCTAATAATTTCAAGTACTTTTTATTAACTTCATGAATAATGAGAATAAAGTCATTCTACGTAAAATACATTTATTTAAAAATAAATGAAGATAATAAAAAATAAATTGTACATATAAAAAGGGCAACACAGTGGCTCAGTGGTTGGCACTGTTGCCTTACTGCAAGAAGGTCACTGGTTCGAGTCCCAGCTGGGTCATTTCTGTGGAGTTTGCATGTTCTCCCTGTGTTTGCGTGGGTTTCGCTCCGGTTTCCCCCACAGTCCAAAGAAATGCGCTATAGGTTAATTGAATAAACTAAATTGGCTGTCGTGTATTTGTGTGAATGAGTGTGTGTGGATGTTTCCCAGTACTGGGTTGCAGCTTGAGGGCCATCTGCTGTGTAAAACATATGCTGGATGAGTTGGCGGTTCATTTCACTGTGGCGACCCCTGATAAATAATAGGACTAAGCTGAAGGAAAATTAATGAATTAATGAATGAGTACAGACTTTTACAGTAAATAGTAAGAGAAACAAACTTTTACAGTAAATAGTAAATAAACAATGTAACAATATAATCTAAATATCTCAGATATTATATTAAAATTATTATTTATTCTGTTAAATGAATTCTTTAAAAAATATTTCCCAAGTGTTGTTTAACAGAATATTTTATAATAAACATTTTTATATTTATAATTTTATAATTATTATAATTTTAGATAGTTTTAAGAACTTTTTTTGTCTTTGCCTGAATGATACGTGATATTTGTCTTTATATTTTGTATGATGATTTTTTAATATCTATATATTTATATGTGTATTTGTGTCCAGTACCATTTTGAGATTTCACATGGGCTGGAAATACGAAATACGGGGCGACATGAAGAGATCCCTGGTCTGTCCTATGCACCAGTTACTGGTTGCCATTGGAATAGTCGGCGATCTGGGGGTTTTATAGGTTGTACCAAAGAGCATAGAATCACCAAGAGGCGACACTCTAGTGCGATTTGGGAAACAGCCACTAGATGGCACTGCAGCCATTTTGGAATGAAAATTCCAATTAAACAACAGCATATTATTTATCTGTAAAATAAACTATTATAAGTGCTGATGATTATGATTGTTAGTGTTGTTGTCTTTCAGGTTGTATCTCAGCTTAATTGCGCCCTAAAAATACATAAATGAAAAACAAAGCAGCTGTTTGCCATAGCAACAGCAATAAGATCCATTGGAATCCAGGGCTGTTGCTGGGCGCTGCTGTTGTAATGGAACGTTCTATCAAGTGTCTCCTCTTGCTCATTCTAAGCTCTCTGGATGTACTAAACACCTGAAGACAGAGGGAATGGGGTGAAATTCTGGGAGTTTTCCGGGAGAAATTACAATATGGGAGATGGGTCTGAAATACGGGAGACGCCCGGGAAAAATGGGAGTGTTGGCAGGTATGCAAGTACCAGGTTGCAAAACATTCGCGCTGTGTAAAACATATGCTGGACAAGTTGGTGGTTCATTCTGCTGTGGCAACCCCTGATTAATAACGGGACTAAGCCAAAGGAAAATGAATAATGAAAATACAAAACTGCTTTGATTCCAGTCTAAACTAAAAGAAAAATTACAGGAAATAATGTGACATTTTTCTCGCTTTTTTAAACAGTCCATGGGAAATATTTGAAATATGAAAAAAAGTAGGAGGGCTAATAATTTTGAATTCAACTTTTTTATTTATATTTACAATAAAATGCCTTTTATGGTATACATTTGGTCATACAGTTTGCCTATACATTTAGGTACAGAACCCATACACAAATATAAGCCTCTGTGGGATCACAAATAGTGACAACAGTTTCATGAATGTATTTTGTATGTGTACAATAGGCTCAGTAAAACACTTGAGTTCATAACGCTCATTCTTTCATTCCTAATTTTAAACATTACTTTCATTGAACTTCTGCTTTAGTGTTTTATAATGTTTGTCTTTTGGCCAGTTCATAAATAAGATTATAAACTGAACTAGTTAGATTTGCATGATGAAATGATGATCCGTCTGTGTTATAAAATATAATTCTGACTCAAACAGTAAAAGAACCGGCGTTTGTTTTGTATGATAAAATGAAGGAGGCAGATGCCCATATATCTACGGCATACATGTGTTCAAAGTGCTCTGTTCATGCCAGATTAGTGTTCATTCAGATATGACTATCTGCTTCCACTCTTTTAGTCACTCTGATCTCAGAACAGACTTAGATTATCAGCCTTTCGGTGGATAGAATACTGCTCTATACAACAGTTCCTAGATCAGCCATTCAAATTAGCCTGTATTTTAACCCCAGATGGGTTGCAACAGATGAACACAAAAGTGTGTCGAGTATAGTGTCTACTTGTGAAGCTATTTAAATAAATATTTGTATCTAGTCGTGTCCAGCTGGATTCTTTATGTTTATATGTGTATGCTGACTATTTAATTAGCTTCTCACCATTTCCTGCTTGTCTTCAAAGAACAAACACTGCTTTGTGTGGGTTTGTCTTCAATCATCAATCATCAATCCATTCCTGAAACATCTCCGAAGCGGAAAAACACACAATACGTCATTAAATGTTTTATCTGAATCTGCTATTTATGTCCAGGAGGGGAAACAGGAAATAGCTGCACAAGAATAAAACAGGATACCAATGAAGAAAGTCAGATGTAAACGGGCAATCAGGTCAGTTTTGTATGCCTTTGTGTAAAAGGAAAAAATATCCTGTTACATTGAAAAGCTGAGGTGTGACCTTTGATTCAAGTACAACCAAGACAACACAGTGCTGTTGGTTTATTGGCAAATTATTAAGCTGAGGATGCATATATTGAAGAACACTAATGACAACACTTATTTGAGCAATACAGGGTATCAATGTGATAAAGGGAAATACATAAACATTATATGGTGGATGATGAAGGTAATAATAAAATCATACAGGATTTAATTATATTTATTCTATCTTTTTTGGATGATACATAAATGAATAGAAGCTTCCTTCTGCCACTAAATAAGAAATGTAAAAGATATTTGCTGCTTTTTGTCTCATCCTCCTGAATTTGTTTACTCACAATTGCATGCTATAGTCAGTACTGTGAGATGCAAACTTGTAAACTCTGACTTATTTTTTAGAATAGCAAGATGGATCAAAACAAAGGTCAGATATCATTTGTAATTTAATGCTTTTTTGCGTTTTAAATATTTAAGACAATAGACTGCACTCACAGCAAGAATGCCTCTGGTTTAAGTCCCTACCAAACCAGACGGCATTTCTATGCAGAGTTTCGTTTGTTCTCCCCGTGCTCGCGTGGATTTTTCCCGGGTTCCCCGGTTTCCTCCCATAGTCCAAATAACACGCACCCTAAGTAAATTGACCACACAAAATTGATACCATAGTCAGGCCCTTAGCGAGTACACCTCTCCTTCTCCTCAGTCATCCATATCCATCACTTAGCTAGAAATAAGCCGAAGGAGTATATCGAGAGCTATGTCTTACCTGAGCTCAAACTCCCCTCTCACCCTGAAAACGGGAGGGAGCCCAGGGCCAGAGACAGCATGCCCAACAAGCTTTAATGATCAATCATCAGCTAAGTGTGAACTCTTGAAAGACATCTTCTCTCCCTCAAACAATACAAGAGTTTTTAATGCAAGGCATGGTGGTGGCTAAAAGACTAGTGCATTGTAAATCACCTTTACCTCCCTCATTTCAGAACTGGATTTCTGTTATGATATCTGTTATTCACTCAGATTTTTAAGGACTAGCTCCATAAGAACATTTTTGGTTACATAGGGTGACTTTTTTATTGATTTGACAAATCTATATCTCAAGAAAAAATCCGGTGACCCCTCTGAGGTTTAAGTTATATATACTCGCTAGTTTTGATTGTGTGATGCATTTTCTTTTATTGTCTCTTCTTTTTTTGTTTTTCCATTATATTGTCCTTTGTATGTCTACAGTACGAGCCTATGTTTGTTCTTGTTCTGTGTGTATATCTATAAATAAAAAAAATAGAATAAACTAATAAAACAGTAACCAACATAAATAAAATCTACAGACACAATATGACAAATGTGTGATATAAGAAACACTCAAAAGTGAATTTTGGGTGTTTTCTTTCCATTAAACTGAAGAAGGAAACATATTCTTTAAAATGCACTGTATAAAATGAAGTCAGCAAACGATATTGAAGACTTTTGAATTCTCCACCAGAAAACCCTGCATGAATACTACTTGCATTTTCATCCAGAAAGGGCCCATATGTGATAAAACGTGATTGCTGAAACCATGAACAAGGGTGTTTTGTGATGTAAACTGAAAAGGAAGTTTACAGTACAATGTGTTTCTGTGTTCTCAGCCCTATGAATATGTATGACATTGTGAGATAGTCTATAGCACCCTTTGTCAAGTTACTAAATCCCACAGTTTTTAGAAAAGTCAAAAAAGGCCATTATGAGACTGAAATAAATATTTATAGCTAAATATACAAGGAGGATTCTAGATTTGTTAGTACATGTTGCATCTCCAAGCTTATTTTTCAGAAAGAACATTTTTTATAGAACATTGAATAATAATAATTCGTTTTATCAAGTTATCTCTAAAAATAATAATTGTTTGTGTATTTAGGGACATTTTGACCTGTAAATATTAACTTATAGACTCCACTATACCAATTATTTAACTGTTGTTATTTAAAACATTGAATAATAGCAAATTACATCAAGTTATCTCTAAAAATAATGTGTGTATGTGTATTTAGGAACATTTGATCTTAAAAATATTAACTTATAGACTCCCACTATACCAATTAATAAACTAAAACATTGAATAATAACACAAATTATATCACGTTATGACTAAAAATAATGTTTGTACGTATATTTAGGGATATTTTGTCCTGTTATTATTAACTTATAGACTCCATACCGATTATGTGATCATATAATCACAGGCTTCTATTACCATTTAATCAATTTAATTTCATCTCTTTTTAGTGCATGG